ACTCTTCCGGAATATGGGAATGATCTGCTGAACAGGGTAGAGTTTTTCAAGCTTAAGCTTTGTGTCAAAAATAGTGTATCCTTTTGAATTCCATTTCCAACTTTGTCTACAGTTCCTGTCAAGTAATTCAGGGTATACATATACCATTATTATGCTAAATAACCAACTATCCTCAATGACAGTGACCACCACCCAAGAATTAAACTCTTTCTGATCTTATAGGTTATTATCAAAAAATATTGTTATTTGTCACAAGGGTAATTAATAGTATAGGGATCCTGTGGAACACCCATACTCCCTAAACCAGTTGGAATACCCCTCGGAGTAGTTAGTAACATCTAAATTATGTTTATTTACAGGTGCAGACAACAAAGATGTTACATATAAAGACATAACAGCATTATTCAACCAAAAATACAGTAAGATTGCTGTGATTATTGTATGCATGCATTTGTGTGATTCCATGCACGTTTTTGTGATTACAACTTTTTGGATTCCAGCACACACCTCTTCATTAATAGTTATTACTTAAATCTCTGGGAGTGTGTAATCCCATATATTGGATATCGTAGAAAATATATGAGGGTACACACCCATATAATTAACTAGTAATTATAAATTAAAAGGTGCGTGCTGGAATCCAAAAAGTTGTAATGGTTTCAAGCTCTATGTCAAATACCAGGGTATTGACTATTCAAATCCATTTCTAATTTTTTTTTCTGTCACATTCAGAGTATAGCTTTATATACTAATTAAGCACTTTTAAATCTCAGCCTTTACCAAAACAATAATATGTGGCCTCCACCCTAGAATTGTTAAATTATAAAAATATTTATATTCTGGCAGTTATTTAGCAATAACCCCTTTTATTTGTCATAAATACGATATATGAATTTGAGAATTTCAGGTTGACCATTTTGGGGTTCTGGCTGAACACCCGAACCCAAGTCCACATGGTGTATACCCCAAAAATTAATTATTATAAAGGCTACATTATTATTCGTAGAAGTTATAAAAGATATTGCTCTTTGGGTCTTGGGACCAACATCATTAAATACCACCTATATACTCAATCTTGTCATGGTTTGAGAATGTTTATATTAGCTTTTACATTTTCACTAATATCATAATTACTCAAAAATGTCAATGATGTCATATTTCTATTTCCTATAAGGGTAAGCCATAATGAATAATTGTTGGAGCTCCTCCAACGTTATATAAAACTTTCTGTTCTCAGTGATACAGGTTTCTTAATCATTCTATAGTTGCTTTTACTGGCACAGCCAATTTAAAGCCCTTAAATTATTGTTATCTGGGATATCTATGGGGCTATGCTATATATATCACAAAAAAACTCTAAAATAAAGGATACACCAGACAATATTTACATCAAAATAGGCGAGTTTTGGAAAGTCTCAACAGCCCTAGAAAACTATTACATTCTCCGAAATCTTAGTGCTAAAATTGCAAAAGGTTCACGAATACTGGTAGTAATCAATTCGTTTTTCAACTTCAACTTTTTATTTGCTTACCCATATATTTTCTTTGATAGACTATTCAAAAAGAAACAGAATTATTATATACAGAAGCTTGTTTTTAGGTTAAAATTATCTTGAGAGTTTGTAAGTGTATTAATCATGAGTATGATGTATGTTAGCTACCATTAAAAGATCATGAAGAATGTATTTTAATCATCAAAAATAACACNAGAGGACAATTCTTGAGGCTAAAGAAAGCATCATCTTCGAACCAGCCCCATTGCAAGGAAATAGTGATGATGCTGTTGAGACTCCAATTGAACAAGAGCCCATCCCAACAGAAGCAACTCAACAAATACTGGCATCCCTGTTAGCCCACATTGCTGGAGACAGAGTGTCAAGGCATGCACTTAGTGGTGATGGTATCATAAAAGAAGAAGAAACCGATGTTGTAGATCTCACATTCAGTAATCGTGAAATGTGGATCCTACAGTCATTCGGCATCACATATTTTGATACAGATGCAAGGAAGGGGCTTTGGCACAATGTTCAACATGACACAGAGCATGATGGTGGTGTCATCTTTCCTGTGCTGAGTGGAGGAGAGGATGAGAAGTTTTGGCTTTTTTTTGTGCTCGCTGAAAACCGATGCTCCAAAATCGATCCTACAGGGATATAAAGCTGTGTGCTCATCCGGACAGGTTCTTTAGGAGTAGAACCAGTAGCGGATGCAGAAAAAAAATCAAAAATAGGGGGACTTTTCTTTAATTGAGACCAAAAGCACTCATTCTTTTGGGATAGGCATTGTTATTCCTGTTGTAATTCATGTGGAAGAGGGAGGGACAAGTGACCCCTTTCCACCTCCCTGTATCTGCCCTTGTGAACATTAGGAAAGAGATAGAAAAAGGTTCAGAAAAAGCAGAAAAACAAAACATTTATACAAGTACACTTTTTATTAGCGAAAATTGAGAAACCTATTTAAGAACCTAGCGAGCCTGACTTTCAGTCAAGCACCATTTATATAGGAACCTGTTCCTATATAACCTGTTCCTGCTGACTTGAAAAAAATCTAGGTTCTCTGAACAAGAAGTTTTATTGCATTGCAATCTAAGCTGCAATTGCATTGGCCCAGATGTTTCACTTAAGTCATGTTGTTATAATAATCATGCGAGTTAATAATTATAGTTATAAAATGTTCTCTTTTATTAGGTATCGACTATGTATCGTCACCAAATGGCTTCTTATTATTATCATAACAACAATTTTTAAAATGAAAATGCACCATCATTGATCTAGATTGTCTGTGTGTTCGTTCTCATCATCTTCAGTTTCATCCCTACCAATACTGACATCATCAACATCATCATTATCATTTGCAGCTTCATCTTCAAGTAAAGACAGAGTCGATTTTCCAAGAATAATCTCTTCTTTGGCCCTTTTCTTCCAACAAAAACACATTTATGATTTGTATTTTTGTAGAATGGGCTAGGGTGTTACTTTGAGGATCCACGTTGACTCAACTGTAAATGGGTGATTGCGTATCTTTCACTATGGCAAAAACTTCATCACCTGACAGATCACCAAATTGGGCAGTTCTCAAAGCTTTCAGTTGGGGTATGAGGAGTTTGACACTGGCTGTTATCTTGGTAAGTTCCTTGTTCAGCTTTTTAGCAATAGCTTGTCCATCTGCAAAGACAAATTACAAAATAAGGTAAATAAATGTGAATTAAATAAATATTCTGATTACACTGGAACCTATCCAAGCTCCCACCCAGATAAGCCAGATACTTCCTGAGCCTCTGTTCTAATCATTCTGTGCACCTGTCTAAGACACACATATAAAGCTGGTCTTCAGAGTGTTTATCACCATTATCCTGTCATATCAAGAGCCTATATTTACCTGCATACTTTTTCCTCATTTCCAGACCAAAGATCCGTTCCGCTGCTAGGTGGTGTAGTTTTTTGAGTAACTGACACCCTTGTTTAAGATTGAGGCAAGCAAGAACTTCTTTGTACAAAGAACTTACCACAGCCCACTTCCTTTGAATTCCTTGTTGCCTCTCAATAGATGCTTGCAGCTTCTCAAGCCTAAATAATATATTACAAACAAGGACATCAGAAAGAAATATTACAACTGGCACTGAGTTAAAAATACTGAATTAAAGTGCACCTATACCCAAAAAATTTTTTTCGCTTAACGAAATAAGCTTATTTTTTGGAGTATTTCTCTGCAAAAATTTTTTTAATTTGCTCAAATCTTTAATTTTCTGTGCCCAGTCAAAATACGGAAAATCGGGCGCCATCTTGCCCCACGACCGATTTTAAAGAGGAATGGCTCTAGCGGGTAATGTGACGTCAAATCGACAACACGAAAATCTGCATTTCACACATTTTCACTTGTTTGGGAAGGTTGTCGTCGATATTGTCCAAAATATGCCGACTAGGTGTGTTGTATGAGGAATGTATGAAGC